TGACGAGTGAAGGGCGTTTCTGATGAAGGGCTTGATTTAGACATTCCAGTTGCTGACTACAGATCTTTCATTGACAGTTCGCTGTATATTGAGGAATTTGAAATGAATTACTCCTTTGATGTCCCACCAAATGCAAAGCATCATTTTCTGCGGATGGAGTCCAGCTTTTGGGGTCGGAAGTGGTTTTTGTCTAGGACTGAGCCATTGTTTTTGGCATTTGATATTCCCATTGAGAATCCATTTTTCATCACCGATGACAATCCTGTCCAAATATGGTTCATGCGCATTACGCGCCAGAAGAGACGAAGCAACGCTCACATATTGGAAGCGATGATCATCGGAGAGTTCGTGAGCCACCCAAACACCTTCTTTATGGAGTTTTCCCACATTCCTTAGATCTTTATATATTGTTTCATGAGAGACATGAAATTTCAGGGCCATTTCGCGACTGTATTGCCTTGGGTTAGACTCAACAAGCGTCTTCAGAGTATCAATATTAATTCGAACATGTCGGCCCCTGCCATCACAGTTTTGAAGGCTAAAGTCACCTGAATGAAATTTCCTGAACCATCGTTAACACTTACGAACGTTCAAAACATTTCCCTAAACTTCTTTGATATTCTTTGTGGCTACAGAAGCGTTGTTTCCCTTCTTGTATTCAAACAGCATTATGTGCCGAATGTGTGTCTCGTCGTGTGCCATCACTATAAGGGATTAAGGTATACTAAACTTTGCACATTATATAGGCCAATCTAACGTGACCTTTAGGCTGTTCGTTTTACCATTATACGTGATGTACGTTTTTGAGGGGTGGTTAATGAAACTGTTCCAAAACGCGGCATGTTCCAGACTACATGTGCTTTTCAAGTAATCAATCCACTGTCGATCGCACCATTCTTATGGTCATGGTACGCACTATTACACAATAACGCAGTTTCCATTGTAACAAGGTTCTGCCAAGGACGGAAAAATCAGTCTTAGGCCAGACATCTTGATAGGTTTTCCTCGGAACCTCCACTGTACATGAACATGAGCTTTCAGCATCACGTTTAAACAAACAAACAAAGTCCATTGGAGCTACATCAGTGAAATTGTCAGGTATGTCGTCCAATGAGATTTCTTAGATTCCGGTTTATCGAACATTTTCTCATCGAAACGCCCGTTAATTTCGAGGTATATCTCTAAGCTTGTGAAAGTTTGGCTAGTGAATCTATGCCATCTTCAAATCATTGTTTATTATATTGTTAATAGTACCATTAGATATATACAGTTTGGAGAGTGAATCTATGCCATCTTCAAATCATTGTTTGCTATCTTCTTAATAGTACCATTAGATATATACAGTTTAGATAGTGAATCTATGCCATCTTTAAATCATTGTTTGCTATCTTCTTAGTAGTACCATTAGATATATACAGTTTGGCTAGTGAATCTATGCCATCTTCAAATCATTGTTTGCTATCTTCTTAATAGTACCATTAGATATATACAGTTTCATTGCAGTGACTTTTTAGATTGTGGGGTTCTCTTTCGCTACCACAGCTCTGGATTCGTTCCTCTGGATTGACTTACGATGTTGTGGAGCCCTCTGCTATCCTAAATGCTCTACTGTGCGAGGTTTTATACTTACATGGAGAACAATGTAGGCTCCCTTCTGCAAAATGTTGTGTCCTTTAGCTCTCTCCTTTAACACCCTTATTAATAGGAAAACCCTTTTTTGAACAGAGCTATGACATATACTGGTACCATATAAATACGTTTATTCTAGCACTATTGCACTGTCAAGTGATCAGCAATTTGAGGAAACTAAATTCATAGAAACTAACATGTTGCCCATAGCGTCATAGAAACTAACATGTTGTCCATAGTGCCACACCTGGCATCTACCGAAACTACATTAACAGCTTTAAACTATTCATACAAAGTGCGAGTAACTCTCTCTATTCACACTGGTGGGATGTGAGAGTAAATAAGGGTCAACCTCCGTACAAAATATCGATAAAATTAACGCCTTAGGGTCTTATAATTTCCCCCATAAAATCGACCTCACTTCTCTGCCATTACCATTACGTTGTAGACCGTTGTCTTCAACCTATACCAACTACATGTTAATTGGAATTCACCACAAACGTTTCTAAAAAGCTCTTAGAGCGTAAAGATATGTCGTCTTCCGCTGTTTACTTTATTACAAGCAGAAGTCACTGCGGTAGCTGTTCGTGATTTATAGCATTCGTCACGCTTAACTTTCACACTTGGGAAAATAAGTGAACTTTTCCAATGTTAACTACCTGAAATTAAGTATATATATATATATAATGTTTTATTCAAAGCTTTTTCTTGATTATCAAGAAACAGAAGTTGCAAAATACTAGCATGTGGTCGATTTGTTAAACTTTCCTAGAAACGTTTGTCTATACCCAAACCTTTTCATCTGACATGTTAATTTAATGTTTCATTATATAACTAATACTTTTTCTTAATTATTGCTTATGAAACCAATAAGATAATTTAAGATTTGTTATTAAATTAGTATTTATAGTTACAATAAGATAATTTAAGATTTGTTATTAAATTAGTATTTATAGTTACAATAAGGTAATTTAAGATTTGTTATTAAATTAGTACTTATAGTTATTTCAAATACATCAACGCCACGTTTAATACATAAGGCAAACTTTTACCCGTTTTCATTTTACTATGAGTATCATTTTCAAAACAAATAAAACGTTGTTATACTGAGTTCTAATGGTCTTGTGTTTGATTGATATTTTAGGTACATATTCTGATACTAGTTAGGTTGGAGATAAATTCAAATATAAGCTAAGTAGCCTTGGTAAGAAGTATGAGTATGTATTGGTTTTCCTGCATTTGGAACGTTCAAATATTGAAATGATATCTACGACTTTGTAGTCAATGAAGTAAAACCATATTTTCTCAATATACTTTTATCTGTAATGTTGCATTATTGAAACTTTTAACGTTTGAAAATAGTTTTCACGTCAAACGTGGATAATATTTTTACAGCTTTTCTTTAAGCTGCTAGTTATTTATTATCAAAATGAACTAATATAAACCCAAACGGTGTTCACGAAGAAAGACCTTTCGTTGAATGTTGTAAACAGTGTAATAAGGAAGTACAGTGATAAAACAATGCAGTCGTTTATAACATGTCACATTGTCCGTTGACCCTCGTTTAAAAACGTGCTTAAAAACCCTATTTGTTCTAATTTGAAATCACGACTCCAATATCTGTAACTTAAGTAGTATTCAGTAAATGAAATATTTATTTAAAATATTTTACACTCTGTTCAGATGTATGTACACATGAAATTCGAAAATCAATTACACATGAAATGTTTTACAGTTAAGACAGAGACAATATTTCGTTTACACCCGGTTGTAAAGTTAAAAAGAGGAAAATAGATGATAACTGAACTTTTGTTTTTAAAGATAATTCAACTGTTTGCAAGTTATGTATGTAAGAATCGGGTAGTTTAGAATTGTGTAGATATTAGGAAGGAATATGCTCTGATTGTAAGGCGTAATGTAGAAGGCCTCTGCTGCTAGTGTATATAGGCTCATGCTCATTATCTCCTGCCTTCGATTGATTGATTCATCTTAAATTTTAACAACCGTTGCTATGTTTTGAAAAATATCCACATAAAACCCACAACGATTTTGGAATGTATTTGATGAAGCTTTTTTTACCCACAATTTTTTCCAGTCAATGTGGATACTGACTTTTGCTGCTACTTCATTAGTAATGGTTAATAAGTAAGATCCGGGTAGAAATCTGAAGTTTTGAAATTTCAATAATTGCTAAGTTAAAAGGAAATGATTTATTACCTGTTGACCACACAGTGTAAATTATTTGACTAAGATGTTTAGTATTTTGTAGGAAAAGATCGGTAAGTGAAAAGACCCTTCATCTTCTCACACTGATATACCTTTTATGAAAAACTGATATGCCCAGCTTTAAATTGCATAACTTTAAAAAAAAGCAGTTATACTTTCTCTAGACAAAATCATCAGCTTGAATTTTCCACCAAATGCTCACAATTACTGCTTTCTGCTGTCCCCGAAAGTGATTTTATATTATTTTGGTTTCAAACAACCGAAAGTTTCTATATACATCACATTCTTAAATAACATAATAAAACAAAATTTACAATGACAGAGAAGGTCTTTTCTTTTTATCATTCTTAATGGCTTTTCCAAAAACAGCACCAATCATCTTTGATACAGTCATGGCGCCTAATTTCTGACGAATAGGTAAAGTTCTTCTAGACTTATGCTCTAGAGTCTCACGTAAGACACTTTGGAATGCCAGGGTTACTCCTACGTGTGTATCAGCTGCTGACACTTCGTAGAATTGGCACTGGAAATGAAGCGACATCTCGTGGCCGTCGTGGATTCCCACTTGTCTTACATGTTCCAAGTCTTTTTTGTTACCGAGAAGAATAACTGGTGCGTGCCGGCCTGCCATGTGCTCTTGAATCCGTCTCAGACTTTCTGCAGCCATATGGAAACTCTGACGATCTGCGGTACTGTATACAACGACAAAGGCATCTGCCCAATCAACTTTATCCGCTGGGAATACGTCATCCTGTTACCATTGGGGTGAAAAATAAACATGTAAAAACATATACACATGATATTTTCACCTGTTACTAGTCTGTGTTATACACTTTAAAATGTTTCTGGAGAAAATACTTATTATTAAAATAAAAAGTGAATTACTACTGATGAGTACATGATAGACAAAGAGAATAATAGATGTATGAATACTTTAAGCATTGCCGTTATAAAAGATTGTTTTCATCATAAGTTACTTTTTGAATTATTTTAGTTCCGATCTATTTTAGTTAGCTTACTTCTGATGACATTTCATATAAACACCAACACACCCATACAGACCTGAAATCTGGATGTATCAAAAACTTCCACTTCACAAGATTGGTCATCAATACATACGTGATGTCTGTACAGTAAATCTGTGAAAATCAGGAGAAATGGTTAATTAATGCCAAAAATGTAACGTACATTTAAACAAAAGTAACACTGCTAAATTTAAAATCAGTCTACTAATACCGTGAAAGCTGAATAAAAATTACAAAGAAAAGGAAAACATTTTTTAACACTCCGAAACGTATAATACCTTATTTTTCACTACAGTCTCCATCCGTTTAAGGAGAACACGTAACTATTGGCTTACACCAACTATAAATTAACGTTTGCACACTCAAATTGAATTTTTCTTACCAATGTCTTAACTAAATACATATTTTAACACTATAATCGATTTTGTTTTCGTACTTGTGTTTCTACCATACATCCATGTTTAACGGTGTAATTGATTTTGTTATAACACTATAATGGATTTTGTTTTTGTACTTGTGTTTCTACCCTACATCCGTGTTTAACGTTGTAATTGATTTTGTTATAACACTATAATCGATTTTGTTTTCGTACATGTGTTTTTACCCTACATCCATGTTTAACGGTGTAATTGATTTTGTTATAACACTATAATAGATTTTGTTTTCGTACTTGTGTTTCTACCCTACATCCATGTTTAACGGTGTAATTGATTTTGTTATCTCTTATGACTCACTTAACTTCAAAATTTTAACACCATTATTAATTCTACTCGCTAACTTAATCTTTACCTATATCTACATTAACACCGTTTAATGAATTAAAACATGTCTTTATTATAGTTATATACCTTGCTTAATGCTATTTGATAGGATTTTATTACCTATATCAAAGCTATACACATTGTTCTATCAGTATAGTTAAATATTTTTAAGCTATATGATTAGTAGATTGTGGATTTTTAACATTACAATTTTGTTCTTTGTTCTTACCTTTACTAGAGCTGTATTCTCCAATAAACCTTCTCGTCAGATAGCGCACAGTAACAGCTGAAACACATCAAAAAGCGCATTTAAATAACATAAAAAACTATATAGGCGAACATTTGATGAGTAAATGTACAAAATTTAAAACTACATTTTAAATTAAAACAATTCACCTTCAACTTTCATGTGAACTTCTAATTTTTGCAAAATAATTTTACTTAGCTATTATTTCATTTGAACACTGAAAACGTTTGGTATTGCTGTTAAGCTTTAGCCGGGCTCAACTTAAAAATGCATAAAAATGGGTTTATTAACGTTTAAGAACGTCTTAGAACATAAACTAAATAAAATATGTTTATCAGAATAATCCGGTATTCTTTTTTTCGCGAAAACAATTATCTTAAATAAAACAAAAGCAAAATTTCTAGTAAAATATATATACATTTTCACCATGCAAGTTTAGCTACGTAAAGTCACTAAACGTTTCTTTTATATAGATTCTTTGACTGGCCTAAGCTACCTAGAACTATCGCTAGGGAGGAATACTATTTTTCTACATTTATCCATATATTCAGAATAGAAAATTTTCACGTTGCTGAAATACGAAGACGACCTAGTTTTAAAGCACAGCTGTTCAAGTACACACAAAGCTTTTGTATTAGAACCTTGGCCTAAAAACAGACAGACAACTTTACGGCACTTACAAACCTAGGCTGGAGAATTTATACCGTTTTCATCATTTGAACGTTACGTTATCTTTGTTTTTCTTTCTTAGTGAAGAATTAAGTTTGCAAACTAATGAAAAAACACAAAAATCAGCAGATACTTTAAATAATAAAATAATACAAACTCTCAATCCATCATAGTATTGACTGAGATAATTTGGAAAACATTAATACATTTTCTGAATAACTTATTCATTGAACTGATGTTATGGTAAATGAAAAATAGCGCATATGTTCACAGTGTGTTGTCAATGCCTAACAAAGAAGATAGCAATAGACAGAGTGACATAGAGTGAAATGTTCTTGGTGTTCTGATCTGGTTTTTCACAGCTGTTTTTTTTTATCCTGATGTACTGAATTAGATTTTGTGTGCTGTTCAGTTCATTTCTTTTTGCATAATGTGATCAATGAATTTTTAGTATCCGTCTAGTGTGTATATTACCACAACAATGAAATTTGGGTCGCGTCCAATTCATAGCATTTTGAGGCCATAACATTCAGTAACATGATCGGATTACATATTCGCGCCAGGAAGTGGCGACATTACGGAGCCATCAAAATATCTAGTGGGAAGGTCTGGTTACCCGCCGTAGCTATAGTTTTAATCATATTTTATGTATTATAAGGTCGAAGCTTCCCCCTAGCGAAGCAATGATTAGCTATGATATATTGAATCGAAAGCGTTAACGTGTTTTGTATTTATTCTTTGTGTTAGATACACAAAATCGGGAACCTTCTCCTATATTTTGGTTTTTAATTATTATTACTATCATTTTTTAAGTGAAATTATTTTTTCCTCAAGAGAAAGTATCAATTAAACAATAAATAATGTAACCAGTTGGCTCCTTACCATTTTTAAGCGTAAAAATTGAAAGGTATATGAAGTTTGTTTGTTTTTGAATTTCGCGCAAAGCTACACGAGTGCTATCTGCGCTAGCCGTCCCTAATT